TCTCTCTCTCTCTCTCTCTCTCTCTCTCTCTCTCTTTCCCTGTCTCTTTGTCTTTCGTTCTCTCTCCCTCTCGCTCACTGTGTCTCGCGTCTCCCCCTCCATCCTCCAGGGTGATCAGCAGAGCTCCAGGGCTGAAGCTCGTGGTCGAGACCCTCATCACGTCCCTCAAGCCCATCGGCAACATCGTCCTCATCTGCTGCGCCTTCTTCATCATCTTTGGTATTCTCGGAGTTCAGGTAAACTCCATCAAATATGAATCATATCTTCCCCACCGTACAACTCGTCTTTTATTAATCAAGGGAGCCTCGAGAGCCTTTGAGAAGTCACGAGGACCTGAGATGGTCAAACTATTGAACTAACACAGCGACCCCTATGCTCACCGTGGCCCATAATAATAATTTATACACCGAAATTTAAGTGGGTCAAAATATGCGAGGCCGCAATTATTCTCTTGACTTCCATCTAGAGCAAAAACCAAGAAATGAATCATTAAACACTGGAGAACACCAGAAGAGGCTGTTTGCACCCACAATGAGAGCACGTCCTCGCAGCGCTGGCTGAGAAGGCTCATTAGAGCAGAATCCAACAGGAGGAGGAGGCGTAATGGCAACACAGAAGACCCAAGTTTCACTTTCCACATAATCAAATAGTGATTCACAGCTTCATCAATCCTTTACAGACCAAAACCAGTACATACCAGCCCTGTTCTCACTCCCAACCCATCAAACACTCGGCGTCGAATACCGACACTCGCTTTAGTGTCTGCATTATGTCGGGGTGGACGGATGAGACCGCTGTACGGGTCTCAAGTGGTTATGTAACTTGTGTACCTCCGCTCTTGATTTATTACCTCAGTAAACATTGTAAACATGAGTTTATGGTCTCAATCTCTAGTTTCAAGTCTTCTTCAATACAGCATGATGTTCATTTAGTACATTATGGTCCATTTAGAGTCACACAGACCATAAAGCAGGGGATGCTTTAGGGCGGGGTTTACTGTGATTGACAGGTCGACACCAGAGACGTATAAGGATATGGTCACTTCCTGTTCACTGCTTGCAAAAAAAACAACATGGCGATTACCGTAATCCAAGATGGCGACGGCGTAATCCAGGCTTCATAACGCAGCTCACAAACCGACTGGTGACGTCACGATGACAACGTCCACTTCTTATATACACTGTACATTTGGAAGTCCAAAGCTGACGCTAGCGGGGAACGTCACAGTCTGAAGCTTGGTGCCACTGACCAAGCTGTCGGTGTTTGACGAGTTTGGAGCGAGAACGCGTTGTACATTTTGGGATTAATTTACGGGACTCTGAGACTCCAGAATACAGAGCGCTGCCCCTAAAAAGTTTTCAGATTTTCAAAACACAGAATAGAAACGAGAAGTTCTGTGTTTGAATCAATAGATCTTATTATAAGTGAATCAATTTCAATCTCGTACCTCACTGTACTGTCAGAAATGGCTAATATGTGTAGTAAAGCACAACAGGTTATTCTATTAATATTCCATAATTGCTGTGAGTTCATAAGTCTCACAAACTACTTGGTTTTCCTATTTTTTAATTCATCGGTGTATTTCCTTCTTGCTTCTAGTTGTCAAACCCACCGTGTTCTTCCGCCATAACTGCACGTTATTATTCATTCTGCATCTGCTGTTATGCATCATTCCACTCAGTCCCCTCTTTGATGTGTTCAATATGATTGAGAATTAAAAACCTCTTCTCTCGGGAGGAAAAAAGAAAACTGTTGATATCGAGTGCTTCTGCTTCGGCTTCATCCACTTCCAGACGCTAATTATGAAATTACTTCAAAAGCCGCATGAGAGGAGTGGGCGCACACGAGTGTTGTCATGACTTCATCAGAAATGTATCTGCGTGCGCCGCCGTCTTTTCATTTCCTTCTCCGCTTTGTGTGTGTGTGTGCGTGTGTGTGTGTCTGTGCGTGTGTGTGTGTGCGTGTGTGTGTGTCTGTGCGTGTGTGTGTGTGTGTGTGTGTGTGTCTTCAGCTCTTCAAAGGGAAGTTCTTCTACTGCGCCGGTTTCGATGTGAAGAACATCACCAACAAGTCCGACTGTCTGGCTGCCAACTACCGATGGGTTCACCACAAATACAACTTCGACAACCTCGGACAGGTACGAGAGAGAAGAGAATGATTTCATGCGAACACAGTAATGGTGCACTTAAAGATGACGATAATAATTAGCACACTCTAGAGGATAGAAGTTCTACGCTAGTACAAGGAGAATACTACGATATAAACTAGAAAGGCAATAACGGAACGAAAACATATTTCCAAAAATACAATACAATACAGACAAAGTGAGAGAGTGATGCTGGAGATGAACGCTCAGCTACACAATTCAATCATTTTGGGTCTTTTGGGAATTGTGTATTTGTTATTTTAGTCATATTGTTATGGTGTCGGCACTTCTATAATCAGCAGCATTAACCGGTATAGAACTGAGTCGGGTCTTGTGTGTGTTGTGTTTGTGTGTCCTTCAGGCTCTGATGTCCCTGTTTGTGCTGGCCTCAAAAGACGGCTGGGTCAACATCATGTACCACGGACTGGACGCCGTGGGGATCGACCAGCAGGTGATAACACACACACACACACACCACAGGCAAATACAACACTGGTACAAACCTGTGTACTGGTCCTTTTGCATAACACACATGCTGCTATTTGGGTCCTGTTTGCCGGTCCATGTAACCCACATGCCTGGATCTCCAACCACATCTCTTCCAGCTCTTTCCAGGGAATCCCACGCGTTCTTAGGCCAGATGGGAAATTAAATCCATCCTTCTGGTCACTCTTGGATCTCCACCCAGTTGGATGTGCCCACAACTCCTCCACAAGGAGGCGTCCTGATCAGATCACCAAACCACCTCAACTCCAATAAACAGATCCCCAGAGAGCTTCAGCAGAAGGCCTCGGTAGTCTTAATGCCTTTGCTGCAGACCGTCCCCTTCAACTCTCTGAACCACAAGCAGTTTTGGGGCCTTTTCTTTTCTCTTCTTTGCTTCTTTTCTCTCTGTGGTCTTGATTTTCACTGTAATATACATGATGTGTTCAAGGAATGTCGGAAAGATGAATTTCTGACGATAGTTTTTACAGCTTCTGGCTGTGATGAACGGTGTAGTTTTGGCGATTGTTTAAAAGAAAACCTGCTTTTTAACCACGCCGGCGGGTTTTGGGGTTCAGCGGTTATCAGCCTCATAGAGCTGGACCAGAAGGGCCCGGGTACACCTGCTCGTAGCTTCAGAAGGCCGTTATCATCAATTCACCTGGTTGATCGCCGATACAAACACAAGAAGATCACGCAGACATTCACTGATGCAAATGAGTCTTCTGAAGCGGCTTCAAAGTGAACAGGCTCCCTTTAGAACTGGTTCTATTAGTGGATCTATTAAAGAGGGGCATTATTCTGGCTGATTCAGCTTCCCCCCCTCAGGGAGAAACCTCGCTGCGGTCCAACACGGCTCTGAATGACTAATCCCATTTGCACTCCACCCCGCGCTTTCAACACTCCACACTCCTCCAAATTCAAAATCTCGTCTCGTCTCCAGTTTTATTGCACCTGAACTTGATTTTTTTTGTGTGTGTTTTGTAATGACTTCCTGCAGTGACCCAATCATCCCGATCTGTTCCTCACATTGTCTCTTCTGTTCCCCTGTCAGCTTGTCTTACCTGTAGCAGCTCCAGGTTTGTTTGGACTGTACTGGCTGTGGAGTGCGTTGGTTAATTGGAAGACCGTAAGAAGCTCGTGGCAGTATTCCAAATGTTCCTCAAAACTGGACGAATTAGATGAGTTCCCCTCAATCACTGCGTCTTTCATTAATAACTATGATAATGAAAGGAACTGGTTGTGAACCAGTCTCAGTGTAGTCCTGATCCTCTATATGAACCAGTCTCAGTGTAGTCCTGATCCTCTATCAGACCTCCATCAGTAAAGAGACCATCAGAGAGAAGATGGTCTGTTTCTATAGAGTTATTCTTAATGCTCGTCATTGGAGCCACCGGGTCGGATTCTGGTGAAACCAGATGAACTCATGCAGGTTCACCAGAACCTCCTTCAGCTCAGACTCCAGCAGAGACCGGTCCACTGTGGACAGACACAGATCCTCCAGCAGAGACCGGTCCACCGTGGACAGACACAGATCCTCCAGCAGAGACCGGTCCAGCATGGACAGACACAGATCCTCCAGCAGAGACCGGTCCACCGTGGACAGACACAGATCCTCCAGCAGAGACCGGTCCACCATGGACAGACACAGATCCTCCAGCAGAGACCGGTCCACCGTGGACAGACCCAGATCCTCCAGCAGAGACCGGTCCACCGTGGACAGACCCAGATCCGGCTTCTCTCTTTGTATACCGGCCTCGACGGAGGAGTTCTGCACTTGACAGCACGAATATTTCAAGGGCGAATACTTCCTCGTTAGAAAGCCGCGTCACCAGCGCCACCCCTCCAATGAGTTCCCTTTATTCAGACGGACACGCTGTTTTGTGCTTGGAGGGTTCCAGTGGTGACTGTTGATACCTTGAGCTCCCTCCAGTCTCCTCCAGTGCTTCCTATCAACTCTGCCTCCTTCATCTCGTTCATCTATTCTCTTTTATTTCGCTCTATTTTCTCTATCGTCTATTATTTCATTTTCTGTCTCTTTTCTGTTCTCTTTCACTTTCCTGGTGATATATTAACTAACGTCCCCTTCTCCTCTCCCCCTCATCGCTCTATCTTCACTTTCTTTCCTTGAAGACGTCCACCAGTCCTCCCTTTTCGTCTCCCTCTCTCCCCTCCACCGACTCCACCACTTTCCCAGTGGCTCCTCGTCTCATCTGTTTGTCCTCTCTCTTCCTCACCTCCAGCCGCTGACCAACAACAGTCCGTGGATGCTGCTCTACTTCATCTCCTTCCTCCTGATCGTCAGCTTCTTCGTCCTCAACATGTTCGTCGGCGTCGTGGTGGAGAACTTCCACAAGTGTCGGCAGCACCAGGAGGTGGAGGAGGCCAAGCGGCGGGAGGAGAAACGCCAGCGTCGCATGGAGAAGAAGAGGAGAAGTAAGGGCCCGGGAGGAAGGGGGAGAAATGAGGACGGTGTTTTGGAGAAAACGAGGTGGGAGGGAGGAGTAGAGGCTTTGAAGTACAAGAAGGAGAGATGAAAAATACATGAAGACGAAGAGAGAGAAGGGGTTTGGAGGAATAATTGGGGTGAAATGAAAGAAAGGAGTGTAGTGTTGGGAGAGCAGGAAGGAAAGGAGGAAGGATGGAAGGAGTCTAGGGAAATGAGGATAGACGGGAGGGAGGAGGACAGATGGACACGTACACCTCTTTGGACGGGAAAAGGAGAGCAAGGACTGAGTGGAGGGAGGACACGATGATGGAGGGATGCCGTCCTTTTGGAATAAAGGAAAAGAGAGGATTAATAAATGAATAAAAGAAAAGGGGCAGATTAAATATGCAACGTAACAATATATTTATCAAAAGTACACATTTCCTCACAAACGTTTGTTTACCTCTTCAGAATAAAATGCAATCCAGCAAATGAGTTCATGTGTGAACTAATGAGTGAAAGTTAAAGGACTCTTTCCTGGTGATATTTCATACACGTCCTCACTGATGTGACTTTGAACAGTCTTTATTTCAACTCATTTAAAGCTCCTTCACCTCCCTCTCACATTCATCAAACTCTCTTTCTCTTCATATTACCTCACAGCTTTATCTCCCTCTCTGCTTCTTTCTTCATTTTCTTCTTCCCTCGTTTTTCACCCCTCTGGCGTAAATTAATCATTAAATCAATCACACTTGCACTGCTTCCTCCACCCGGTCTCTCAACCAAATATCTATTATTTCTCTTTATCTTTCGATACCTCACTTCAATTTGCTCGTTCATTTCCTCACCCCTGGATTCTTTCTTTTCTTTCTGAATGCCTCCTCTTGCTCCCGTCCGCTCCACATCTGTCCCTGCTTGATATTTTTCCTGCCTTCTCGCCGATCCAAATTCCTCCTTACCTTTATCCCCCCGTCCCCCCCGCCCCCCCCCTCCCCGTCACCTTTTCTCTCTCCAGAGGCCCAGAAGCTGCCCTACTACGCATCATACGGCAGAACCCGGCTGGCCATCCACACCCTGTGCACCAGCCACTACCTGGACCTCGTCATCACCTGCATCATCTGCATCAATGTCATCACCATGTCTCTGGAGCACTACAACCAGCCACAGGTGAGGACGCACGTCCTCGAGGGGATGGAGGAGATGGAGGGATGGAGGAGATGGAGGGATGGAGGGATGGAGGAGATGGAGGTATGGCGAGGGGGTTTGAGTGAGATGGACAGATGGGGATCAATGAGAGATCATCACTGAGATCATTGATTACCTGAGAATGATTTTAAAGGTTTTAGAACTTCTTGCTTTGCTGCTTAAGAAAGACTATTTGTTTACATACAATAATTATAAATCATGTTGATTCTTCTCCTAATTGGTATTGATGAAGAACCGAACACATAAGCAGTATTGATAAGAGTACTAAATCTGGATCGAATCCTGACGACACCGTCCCTACAGACCTGTTTGAGGGGTTCTGAGTGGGTGGTGGGGCACCAGCTGGGAAGGTCTTGCAGGCACTTCCAGAGGCAGCCGGCCAACCTGCTGCTCTGAGTCAGCAGCATCATCTGCCAGCAGACAAAACATTTATCTGGAACACAAACATTGGGGCAGATTTGGGGTATTAGTTACGTAAGATGTTTCTCAGAGGCAGAGATGCTGTCGAGCATAAATTCAGTCTGAGTTTAATCCCACTGAACACATTCTGGATGTGATCACAAGACAAGATTTTGGTATCGGAAGTGTTTTTTTTTTTTGTTGGACCAAGTAGTCTCGACCAATCATGTTTGAGTGGGGCTTTGGTTGCAAGCAAAATTGGAGGCTGAACGCATTGGTCCAAACCACAGACTGTATACAAGACGTGGACGTAGTCATCGTGACGTCACCCTTTGCTTTGTGGACTGATGTTCTGAAGCCTCCACAATTTTGCTGGCGCCATCGCGGCTATTTTGCAACCAGTGAACAGGAAGTGACCGTATGTGGACTGAGGAGGAGAGACGTAGAGTCGGCGTATACGTCTCTGGTAGAGACCTGTCAATCACCGTGTAGCCCCGCCCTAAAGCATCCCCTGCTTTATGGTCTGTGTGACTCTAAATGGACCATAATGTGCTAAATGAACATCATGCTGTATTGAAGAAGACTTGAAACTAGAGATTGAGACCATAAACTCATGTTTACAATGTTTACTGAGGTGATAAATCAAGAGAGAAGTAGAGTCATTTTCTCATAGACTTCTACACAACCAGAGGAGTCGCCCCCTGGTGGCCACTAGAGAGAATGCAGGTTTAAGACACTTCGCTTCACTCGGTAGAACCGGAGGTTGCCGCTTGGTCGAAACGCAATCAGG